CAAAAAGCATCGAATTAATAGCTAAACCTAATATATATATGTGTGCATATGCATGCATAGATGCACACGTAGGTACGCTTTTGTATACTTTCGAGATCCTTGAACTATAACATTATAACTATCAGTAAGAGTAACGCGGTGTATGGTGCAAGTTAAACTTCGTGCGATTATTAGTCGTTGACAAAGTTGGTTGTCATAAAAATATGACGATATTTCTTGATGTGTATGTGTATGTGTGTGTGTGTGTGTGTGTGTGTGTGTGTGTTCGAGTTAGATATAAAATTAAGAAAGGAAGGAAATATTGAAAAAGAAAGAAAGAAATAGGAGAGAGAGAGAGAAAGTAGGATTTTATATAGGGCGTACGTCGTTGGCCGGTTCCGTTTATAGATCGAAGCTCCGAAAAAGCCCCAGCAAAACTCGCGTAGCTCTCTCTTTCTTCCTTTTTCTTCTTATTTAAAAGTCCCTCCCGCCTTTCCTTCCATTCCCCTTCGCAACATATTCTTCGCGATCGTATGTGTTTATCGTGCGCGACGAGAAGCTCATTTCCTTACGTCGCCCGGGGCTTAATAAATCAGAGAGGAGGCGCCCTTGTCAATAGTAAGGTCAGCCGAGAAGGCGACTCGACGTCTCCAGCATTTGCCAAGTGTGCTAGGAAGACGACGATGACGACAATGACAACGATCGACTACGATGACAATCAAATAACAAATAGAATAGAAAAAACTACAAAAATATACAATGAATTTCGTGTATGTGAGAGAGTGTGAGTTTGTGTGTAGGTGTTTGAGAGTGAGAATGGTTTAGATCATGAATTTATATGGCAAGGAAAGGGTAGAAAAAAATGTATGATGAAATACCGTGAGCAACATTCGGAAGAAATAACGAATTCTTCCTTTTCTTTTATTTTTTCATTTGTTTGCACCCTCTTGAAAAGAAATATCCTTGTTATATCAAAGTAATCCCTACAATTCAACATACTCCAATTCTCGACCATATTAGCAATTTGTAGTATCGTACCAAATTTCATTTACTCTCGCATGTTTCATCGAAAATGAATTATTTACTTGAGCTATTTTCGCACATTTTTCTTCTCTTTTCATTCCCAGTTTCCCCCTTCTTACGCACGATAAGCCCCATTTCCCTAAAGTAAGTAATACTCGGAAACGCGCGAATACTCGCGTACTACCTGAATAAAGTATCCATTTTAATATTCGAAAAGATCGCTATAAGAAGTAGATATATGTAAGTAGATATCTACGTACATATGTATATTTATATATATACACATATATATATAGATAGCTATAAGTTTAATAATTTCTTTACACGCGGCATGTATCATCTTGGTCGTTGAACGCATGCGCTCTCGCATTCTTATACATCAACTATCCCTCGTGTGTCGCTACCCGATAAAATAAATTTTATTTCTTTTTCTGTCTTTAAACTACATCCTTAAAATTGCATCGTTTTATTTTTATTTTTATTTTTTTTTAAATAAAACGATATGAAAAAAAGAATCAGAGGACACAGATTGTTTCTTCCTTCGAAAACTTTTTTTCTATCCAAATGATTGATTGCAAATTTCGTTTAATTTTTTTTTTTTTTCATTTACGAGAATGAGAGATATAAAAATTAAAAAGAAAAATCTAGTCTAATAATAATTAATAAGAAGAGAAAAAAAAGTTCGGTAGAGCTTTTAACGTAAAGATAATAAAAATGACCCGTGCCTGCTTGTCTTGATGAAGTACGATGAAAAGCAAGGTGGGCACCTGGTAGCAGGTAACTATATATCTATTGATCGTTCATTCATGCTACCCTTTCACCCTCTCAACCCCTCGGCATTCCCCAAAGCTTCTCCTCTATTACCCTGTTTCTATTCCCCCACTCTAACTTCAACATCTACCATATCCCCCCTCTTCTCTATCTTTCTCTCCCTCTTCCACTTTCTAGTTCTGTTTCACTCTTACTACAAACACTTGCAACGTCGTCGTACTCGTAATCTCTATCACCATAATCATCATTGATGATCATGTGTAAGAATAATATAGCAAATAAAGTATTTCAGTTCTACCAACTGCAAAACTATCACCTCATGGCTGGTCACACGTGGCGCTCGCCAGAAACACGCGTACCAACCGGTTAACCAGTTAACTGTAATTGACATGTATACTCGTCACAAAATTTTTGTTATTGACGAGTATACTCGTCACGATTCTCACATTAATCGCCTGTCTGAAACTTTTCTAATAATATTTAAATGAATTTTTTTCAACGAAATGTTGAATTAATCAGTTAACTGTGATCGACGAGTATACTCGTCATGCGTATAAAATAGCAACCATTGGTTATTTAAATTGTAATTTTTGAGAAAAACAAGATATATTATCAAATTTCAAGATGTTTAGAATATTTTGAGCCCATGCCGGCATATAAAACAAACAAATAAAAAATATAAATAATTTGAGATGAACTTATGCGTCCCTGTATGCACCGATTGAAAAAAAACTTACCGGTTCGTACAACGAATTTATTAATGTGTCAATTTTATAAAATAAACCCATCTTTTTGATCCAATATCTTACTCTGTGATTGACGAGTATATTCGTCATGGCTCGATTCTGGCGACAGAAAACGGTGCGCGGTCTCGAACGAGGGCGCCACAGTTAACTGGTTAAAAACCCTGTCAGAGAAAGTACCTACCTAACTTTGACTAAACTCTTGCCGCGTGTTCACTTCAATCTTCTATATATTATATTTATCTACATTTCTCTCCCCACCCACTTTATATATATATACATATATATATTGGAGTAATTAGAATAATGGAAAGAGATAGAATTTATTAGTAATAATGAAATACTTTTAACGATTATCCAACTGGTATAGAATTCGTAACGAAAGGTCGAATATTCACGTTCTCATTTCTAGAAAGAATTCTGCGATCGTTATTCTCTTTTTTAGTTCATACATATATAGTTTATATATTTTATATATTATATATATATATATTCCTTGTAGTTTCGTTATCCATGAGAAATCGGTGCTCTCGTCGATCGTTCGGTTCCTTTTGTAAGCTCGCCTCGAGTACTTCTCGAAACGAAAAAGAGAGTCAATGGCGAAGGCAAGTCTCTCCAGGACGTAATGAGAAACGTCCCTGTATCGATAATATCTCGGAATGATACCAGCAAAATGTTCCTTGTAATAGAAAATTTAACCAAAATATCGATCTAACAAAAAAGAATTGAGTTCATCAACTATGATATCTAATTTACTCAATGTTTTATACACCACGTGTTTACGATTTAACATATGTGTATGCAGGTAAATGTACGTGTGTGTATGTATTATAATTCGAGTGAAAAATATCGATCTTGGAAGATCGATTAAATGATAGAAGGACACGATCGAGAGTAGTAGGCACGGCATGCGATACACGCACGTGAACTTTACACACGCACGCATTCGTTACTACGATAAGGACACGAAATGAGTCTACAACACGCTCTCTCTCTCTCTCTCTCTCTTTCTCTCTCGCTCTTTCTCTTTCTTTGCCATTATTTAATTGGCAGTTACATAACACCGAATGTTCTTACACGATAAACGGTCCGACGAACATCTAATAAATTAACAATTATGTGAATGCTTTGATACAGATCGTCGACCTTTCTTATCGACTACGAGGACGAACGTGAAGAGAGAGAGAGATAGAGAGAGAGAGAGAGAGAGGGAGAGCAAAAAAAACCTCGTTCATTGGAGGAAAAGTGGGCCGGCTGGCTATTCGTGCAACGTGAAAAATTAATGAACACGCGAAGATGCATCACCGGAGATTACCGGGACTTCTGTCTTCCCTGAAGAGAGAAAAAGAAAGAAAACATAGAAAAAGAGAGAGAGAGCAAGGAATACTTGGCATYAAAAAAGAAAAAACTAAACAACTCTCACAACTCTCTCTCACCTAATAAATTATCCGTAAAAACGTTTTGCGATGGGTTCTCTCACGCATACGTTTTAACTTCGAGTTATGTTTCGTGGCATGGTTTTAATGAAAGCTATAAATTTCACCGCAGAAAATAAATTCACATCGTAAAATGTCAAATTAAAGGTAGCCCCCTCGACAACAGAAGTCGACGAGCATGACGAAAAACTTGCCTTTTTTTTTTCCTCCAACGAATTCCCTATTCACCCCTAATATGAGTATTTTAAAAGAAAATATGATCGATTCAAACTTGTTCGATATTTTTCTTTTTACAAGAACGAGGAAAAATTGGTTGGTTTAATTTTTAACATGATTTATTTCCTCCCATCTCCCAACATTTATCGAATATAAAAATGTTTGTTCCTTTAATCATAACAATGACATTAAACTGAAAACCTTTCAACGTTTAACTTTTTCTTTGAAATCGATGAACGCTAGTGATTGCAAAAAAAAAATGGGTTTGTTTTGATCGAATTAAATTCCTATTATCAACATAAATTCTATTTTAGTTCAAGAATTAAAAAAAAAAAAAAAGAAAAGTAGAGATGGGCGTGAAAATCTTAGCAGATGGTTTCTCTCGTAATAGTTGAAATCGTGTCACGAGTAAATGACAGGAACAACAGCAGTTATTGACTATAATCGAATACTATTCGAAGATAATAATAAGGTTACGTGTTCGCGTACGTACGGTGAGCACGTTGTCGTCGTCCTTCGGTCACTTTCGCAACGTATTTGTTAAATGGGTAAATTGAAACGTTCATCATAGTGTACGAGAGAGAGAGTTTTTTAAAGGTTTTATCAACCGAGGATTGATCGACAAGAAATATAGGCGAGGGAAACTAACGCGAGTATCGAAAATATTTCAAGAGTATTTTTTGGGACATGGGTTTTTTTTAAAGATTAAAAAAGTTAGGCAAAATAGGGGGATGGAGGAGGAGGAGGAGAGAAATAAACGGGGCCACGGGGCGATAGAGAAAAAGAGAGAAGAGCTAGAGGGACGCAACCGCTCCGGTTTCGCTGGACTCACCTCTAGAGGGAGGCAGGGGCTGGATGCGGCCATGTTCCTACATGCGTTCGAGCCTCTGCCCTGTTGGCGATTCCCTCTTCGTGCTGAGGCACCACTTTAACAAAAATGCACTAAAACACTCGACTCCGTAGTCGATTCCCTCGAAGCGGAACACTTTTTTAGCCCTTAACAAAGAAAAAATACACCACGTTTACACCTTCTCTTTTGGCTCTTCTATTCTTCTCTTCTTCGCACGCACCGGCCGCTCTCTCCTCCACCTCCTCCTCCTCCTCTTCCACCTTCTTCTCCACCTCCTCCTACTTCTCCTTCTTCTCCTCCCTTACTTCTCGTGCGCAAAACGACCACCCGAAGAAAGAGAGAGAGAGAGACTAGAGAGACAGAGAGAGAGAGAGGGAGAGAAGAGGGTTGAGAGTTAGAAAAGGAAGGGAAAGAAAGTTACAGAAAGAGAAAGAGAGAAAGAGAGGGTGAGAATGAGAGAACACACGTATACACAAAACTATCTCGCTTCGTTTTCTTTCACACAGACACCAAAATTTTCCCTCTCTCTCTCTCTCTCTCTTTCTCTCTCTTCCCAGAATAACCTCCCACTCTGTTTCTCTCTTTCTTACTTTGGCGATATCTCTGCGCAACCTCCGAACAGCACTACCTTCCTTTTCTTCTTCCTCGTCTTCGTCGAGCTCCCTTCCTTTCGTTCTTCCTCTTTGCCGACACACAACTACCTCCACCAGCACGTTCACTTCTTCCTTCTCGGCGAAGCCGCGACACACCTGGCCACTCTCTCTTCTTCCACTCCCGATAACCGTCCGCTTTCCGCTCGTTTTCGCCTTCTCCTCCTCTTCCTTTTCCTCTTCCTCTTCCTCTTCCTCTTCCTCTTCCTCCTCCTCCAGTACCACCTCCACCTCCTTCTCTTCCTCCGCCGCCCTCTCTCGTCCTCCTCCTCGTCGTCGACGTCGACGTCGTCGTCAACCACCGCTGTACCACCGGCGCATAACAAACACTTTTAGAGCCGTCACCGTTCTCGGCTCTGATCCCACGACGACGACGACGACGACGAACGACGACTCCGATCCAACAACGATGGCCTACGAGGAGGAGACAAATACAAAAATCACGAGGACGACGACGACGACGACGTCGACGACGAGACAATCACGATTATGTTGATAATCTTGAATTATATTTATGTTGACGTCGACGACGACGACGACGACGACACGACTTAAACTTAGACTTAGGACTTAGACGAAAACGAAGAACAACGGCAGTAGCAACGGCACCCACAAACACGAACACGTCGATGTGAACGAGGAGTTCGTCGGTCGACGTAACGACTATACACTACCACCACTACCACCACCACCTCCACCACCACCACCACCACCACACCACGACGAATAAGGGAAAGAAAAAGAAAGAGAGAGATGGATTGAACGATAGATATAATGTAAAAGAAAGGTAGTTAAGTTAAAGAAAAAAGGACACACTGATCGACGAGTAGCACACACACCTCTCACATTCGCGAGCAAACGAAAAGAGGAAGAGAGAGATAGAGATAGATAGATAGACAGAAAGAAAAAGAGAGAGAGAGAAAGAGGGAGGGAGTATCCAATAAAAAGAAAAAAGAGAAATATAATGAAATAGATTAGGAATAAAAGGGTAACTCGCGTTCGAGCCCTAAAACACTTTGAAAACGTCTGGAAAGGTCGAAAAAACGTCGATGAGATAGATGCACGTCTCGCGGATTGCGCAGCCGGCGCTCACCTCCTTACTTTTCTTTTCTTTTCTTTTCTTTTCTTTTCTTTTCTTTTCTTTTCTTTTCTTTACTTTACTTTACTTTACTTTACTTTACTTTTCTTTTCTCTTCTCGACTATATATCCCGACTCGGTCTCTCGGTCCCTTTTCACTCGGCCAGAAGTTCAAACACTACCTACGTTCTTCTTCCCCGAGCGTCGAAGCTCGTGGCCACAGCGGGACGATCGCTCGACTACGCTCTCTCGCGTTTCCACCACTACCTCCCAATTTACCCTCCCTCTAGTGCTCTTCTTTCCACCCCTATATTCATCCCCCACCACTTAGACGTAGACGTAGTCGTTGTGTTGTCGTCGTCGTCGTCGTCGTTGTCGTCGTCGTGGATTCCCAATACCAACGCGGTTCACTACTACAACTTTATCGTCGCGATGATTTTCAATCTTTTCGTCTCTTTCTATCCAAAAGAGCTTCTCTCGTGACACGGGGTCCTAACCAACCAACCCTTAACTCTCTCTCTTTCTCTTTTTACTCTACCAACTATCTCTATCTCTTTTCTTTATTCTAACTTACACTCTGCATAGATGCTCGTGGTATTCCTTCCTTTACTTCGACCGGTCACTGTATACACTATCCATGAGTGTTAAATGTGCGTAAGTATACGTTTACTTCTATATATCTGTATATTCCTTCTTTGTCTCTCCTATACACTTGCAGTCCCTTCCAATGTTTGATTTCAGGAACGTGTCCTCGTTAAAACGTACCCCGCTATCTCGATTAAACGACTAAAACTAAAGTACAAACGAATATTCAAACTCTTCATGTGACCTCGACAAGATGCGCGTAAACACATGTGTGCCGCCGGTATATTAGATCTTACAAATGTCTTAAGTAAAATTAAACTAATGTAAACATACCGATCGTTAGCTTCAATCGTTTCGAAGATCGTCCCGTTAAACTTTGAAAATTTATGTCAATATTCGATTACGATATATCGATTGAGGAGGGGGACGAACAAAGGAACTTTTTCTTCGCATATTTCTCGCGCGCTTTTTCAAAGCTCAAACTTGCGAGTATAACTCGATTAGTCGCCAATAGTTGGCTCTGCTCTCGACGAGACACACGAGTGGTATGCGTAAAGATACCTTGCGCGTAACCGTGCTTTCCCTCTTATTGGTGTGCTTCAAACCTATATTACTGAAGGGGTTTTAACGGTGCATGCGCTTTCCTGCCGAAACAGAAAAACGGGGGATGAGCTGCTTTCGAGTTGGCACGAGCGTCCAGCGAGAATTCGGTGCCCCTACCTTCTTTAACCTACCTTACTTTGTGAAAAATATCTGAGAGTTTAGTTTCTCATCAAATCTATTCACAAATCTCTTATTCTTCCACTTACTCGCTCGTATACACACACACACACACAGACACACACACATATACATATCCTCTCTTCCTCTCTAGTTCTTACCCTATTTTTACCATATTTTTTTTCTTTAGCGTGAGATCGTAGTCTTAAAAAAAGATTCCCTATAGTTTTGCTAAAAGCTGTTAGAAAAGAAACTTAAAAAAAAAATTCAAAGAAAATTAGATAAATTTGAAGACGTTGGCGCAGAGATAGTGGAGCGGTTCAACGATCCCGTTGCACGAAGAGTGCTAATTGCCCTTGCCAACGAAAGGAGGTAACGGTCGGGTCGCTGCTAGACGACGACCGCGATAAATTCCGTGGCTAACTCTCTCACCCTCAATCTCTGTCTCTGTCTATCCTATTATCTTTCCTCCTTTCTCTCTCTCTTTCTTTGAATGCTCGTTACATTCGCTGACCGTTTTCTCCTAATCGAGAGGAAGCTGCTCTCTCGGCTAGCGCACTCCCAAGACCCGAAATCGATCGAATGCTTTCTCTCCCTCTCTCTCTCTCTCTCTCTCTCTTTCTCTGTCTACTTCTTTTCGTTTTCTCTTCGTATTTCGCGCCTCTTCTTAACGCACCAATAGCTATCGTATAAAAAAATTCACTTTCGTTAATCTTATTTCTTTCCTTTTTTTTTTTGTTTTTTATTTTAATCAAACGTTCTTACATTTGTCATAGTAATTTTCACGAAAATGTTTCATTGATTTCCTCGTGGAAAAGGAAAAAGAAGCAATAAAAATTGAAGAAAGGAAGGAATAAAGTTCCACGCGAGACTCCACTGCGGGTTAGAAATTATGAGACTTTAAATCCGTAAGAATAAGAGAAAGATGGCTGAACTAGCAACGAATGAAAAAGAAACAGAAAGATAGAAAGAAATATAGAAGAAGAGAACGATGTTCTATACTCCACCATCATCCTCGTCGTCGTCGTCGTCGTCGTTGTCGTCGTCGTAGTCGTGGGTACGAAGAGGAATGGGGTAAGGGTGGGGGGTGGAACAGAGGGCGGCGTTCTGGGTTTCTGGGTTCGACTCCCTCCCTCCCCCCTGCCGCGAACTTCGGAAAGGCTGGTGTGTGCGGCGAATGTGGAACAGTAGGTCAGCGCACTCCGTGACCCCCGCCACGGCCTACCCCTCCTCGGTGCATACACCCTGATGCGATACGTACGACCCCTCTCTATTTCTACCACCCTTCCTTCCTTCCCTTTCATCCTCTCTCTTCCCCTTGCTTTCCACCCCCTCTAACCTCTCCTACCGATCGCGTTACCTTACGCTTACGTTACTATGCGCCGAGTACATCAAACCATACGCACATTCTAACTGATTCTTCATTCTTTTCGATAAATTATTGTCTTTGTCTCTTTCTCTCCTTTTTTATTTGTATTATTACAGTAAGTGTTTTTATAATTTTATTTAATTTGAATCATGTATTTTTTGTTTTAATATATTATTCTACAAATAAATCAAATTACAAAGTTGTTTTATGTGCCTGTATAGAAAAGAATTGATTATCTTTTTTCTTTAGAAGCTAATTGTTAAATCGTAGACCTTGAAATACTAAAACGAAAGAAGAAAAGAGAAAAAAAAAGGTTCTTTCATTTTTCTTGACCGATCGCGTTAAGCTAACCATAAACTTCTTTCAACCACTAACGTCTTTCTCAGATCGAAAAAGAACACGGTTATTTTTCACTTCTCACCCTCTCGTTTTCTATCTTACTGTCGCACGACGCCATCCTATCGCGCTTCTCACGGTCTATGCACGTCTATGAAAAGCACAGGAACCCTTATCGTCCGAGGGAGAGCACAGGGGGGAAAGGAATAAGCGGGGAATGTTTTACGGAAGTACGTACGTACTTTATTTATTCTCATATCATGTTCGTTTTCTCCCTTATTCTAATATTACTAGGTTGGTGCGTATGAAATGTCGAATTTTTATATGTTTTTACAAAAGCTGTTTATTTAATCAAAATATACTTCAATTTAGAATCAATAAACTCTGATATTGCATTTTTCAGACTGTTTTCATCTTCATATTGTTTAGCAAGTAGAAACAGTTCCAAATATTTCAAAAAATGATAAGCTGTTTGCTGCAGAACTTCATATTTCAATTCATTTCATTTTGTAATTGTTTTTGTGATATATGCGGCCGAGCATTGTCATGGAAAACTAGTGGACCGTGTTGATTAACAAGTGATGGGTGTTTCATTTTCAATTATTCATGCATCTCATCAATGTATTGGCAATACTTTTCTGAGTAATTGTCTCTCCTGTTCGAAGGAACGAGTAATGAACTAGTACACTAGTTACATTCCACCAAACAGTGATTAAAATCTTCCGTGGATGAAATGATGGTCTTGGAGTATGAGCACAAGCTTCATCCCTATCAAACCACTGAGCACACCTTTTTTCTGTTGTCGTAAAGAACCCATTTTTTATCACAGGTAATAATCCGATTGAAAAATGGCTCTCGATGTAATCGCGTTAGTAACGACGAGCATACGTTTAACCGATCCAGCTTATTTTGCTTGGTTAGTTCGTGTGGTACCCACTTATCCATTTTTTCACCTTGCCAATTTCAGAAAGATGTCGCAATATCGTTGTATGGTCAACTTTCATCCTGATAGCAAGTTCCCTCGTGGATACAGTTAGACTCGCTTCCACCAATGCCTTTAGATCATCATTTTTCACAGTTGTTTTGGGTCTTCCTCGCGGTTCGTTTTCTAGTGAAA